GGTGATCCCCCTGCCTCTGTTTCAGTGGAAAGGTGAGAACGTGGAAAGCCCTTAGAACCAGGGTGTGACACACACACACACACGAGAGAGAGCGCACATGACGGCACGGGCACGGGCATTATGTGAGCGCAGGTATGAGAGAGAACAGATGTCAGAGCACACCAAAGAGCACACATGCGCTGCGCTTTGAGGTTTACAAAGTGCCGCGCCTGCCGAGAAATCTGCATGGCAAGCTTTGGCGAGGTCTACAAAGTGCTGGGCCTGCCACGAAATCTGCACAGCGAGGTTCATGCTGCGGCGGCCACAAAATCTACACTTCGAGGTTTGCAAAGTGCTGTGCCTGCCACGAATCGGCACAGATGTTTGCGAAGTGCTGCGCAAGGGGTGCTTATGCTTCCCCTGCCACGAAATCCACACATCAACATTTACATCGCGCGCGTCTCGCAACAGAAACGCTTCCAAGTTCGTGATGCCAAAGTTTCTGCCAACCCCCGAAAACAAGCCGCATGTCCAAAGTTCATGATTCACTGCGCCTGCCACGAAATCAGAGCGCCAAAGACCAAGTCCTTTGCGCCACAAATCTACGCATCGAAGAGCGACCGCTCTGATCGACAAGAGCATCAAAACATGAGGATACTCGGATACCCTTGTGCCATTCTGTGCGCACCGCGAAAAGTGACCACCAACTTCGAACATATTATATATACGGCACCGCAACCAGGCGCAGTTGACGAAAGCACCCTCTTGGTGCCGGCGCCATAAGTTTGCATGAGCCTGTGCAGTCGAGATGCACTTCGACCATCTCGAGAGGCATGCATGTGCTGCCAATTGCGAGTTAGCCGCCGACGGATGTGAGCACCCTCGATCAACCTAACCCTTATACCGTAAGAACCCGTAACGTGTCCGCCTGTGTCCGCTCTGCTTGGGGAATCAGAATCAATGTTTCTTCTTGGACAACTCAGTGGCACAAGCGGTTCTGGGGGCCCAACTTCAGGTGAACCGACGCCCAGCCAAAGAGATCGAAGAGGTGGTGACTCATCTCTGAGACATGGACATGGACACCATGGACGCCTCTCGGCAAGTGCACCACGATACACAAATTGATTCGCGCACACATTTGAATAGAAGGTGGTGGCACGTCATGATGTTTTGAAGCTGCAGCGACACTCAGGAGATAGAGAGAGATCAGGAGAGGCACACGACAGACCAGAAAGACCATTACCCCGAAGACATCACCTTCCCGAACCGGAGCCAATGTACCGCAGTGGCGTGGATGCAGAGTTTCTCGAATATGAAGACCGAATTGCAGGGCATATCACATTTGGGGCTGTCCTGAGGGGATCCTTCGCCTCTGCGCTATGCAGCAACTTCCAGCCGAGATTTCATGGACTTTCGAGGCATGAAGACCGGTTGAAAACATGCAGTTTCCTCAAACATCTGAGTTCTTCAATGAAGCTTCCCCCGCGGTTGAGAGAGCGCGTCCTAGGTAGTGGCTGCTTGAGCTGCTACTTGCCCCTTGCTACTAGCTACTTAAGCTTTCTTCACTACTCTCCACTTCAAGAATAGCAATACTGTGGCCTTGGCTCAGCTTGACACAGCGGTTACACAGCTTGACACAGGCCACGAAGATCGATGGGAGTCATCCAGATCACCGAGCAGAGACCCGGGCCATTTGCCTGATAAACTGCGTCAACTCCGTTTTGCCTCAACCTTGATTCAGTGGGCAACCAATCTGAGGGAATACTCTACAGGCTTTGCTTTTTTTTGTTGGCCCTATCTTGCACCCACGTTTGCAGGTCACAGCCATTACAGTTATGGCTTCGATCCAGGTAGTTGGATGCCATCAAGGCAATCCGCACACGAGGTCTATGATCGTGGCCACTTGACAGAACTGTGGCTCAAAGCTGCAAATCCATGGAATCAGCTCTGATTCTTATAGATAAGCTGCCAAAAGCTGCTACTGGTCAGGTCCACCAATTCAAGGTCCGAGCATAACAGCTCCACCTTTTGAACCAGTGGATGACTTCAAGAGCAGCTCGGAATTGAAGAGACGTGCATGCAAGTGACACTAAGTGGTTGAGTTTGCAGACACTTGCAGAGGCCCTCGTTGTCCCGGTCCTTCTTTCACTTGAGGTTGGCTCAGAGGCGTTTTGGAAAGCGAGCGGGATGCTGTGCGTGAGGCGGCTGCGGGAGGTGATCATTTGTGATCATGCAGTGTTTGGACTTTCAGGCGTAGCGGCGTAGCGGTCCAGTGCTTTGGCTAGCATGCCGAGGTAGGCTTGTGCATGCAGGCACTTGCAGGCCACAGCGCCCCCCCCAATAGCACGGATTTCCCCACCCATCTAATACAAATGAAGAATTACACTTATTGGGTTGTGCTGAAGCAAGCAGTGCCAAAAGGAAAACACTAATTCCATGAACAGTGCAAAGTGCATCCACAAGCAGAGGTACAAATGCAGTTGACAGCATGTGAGCTGGGCAGTAGCTGCCAAGATATTTCAACTGGCCCTGCCTCTTCCTGCATAGGGCATGTGGTCAGATTCAAGATGCAAATCCCATGCAACTTCGTAAATCACGAAAGCTAGCTGTAGCTAGCTGGAGTCTGTCTTGCTTTAGCAAGGAGGGTGGGAGCCGAGGACCTGAGTGCAGATACCTGATTTTTCAGGCTTTAACCCCCCCCCCCGCGGGTTCAAGTCCACCCTTCTCCTCAGTACCTGCTGGGTGCTGCTGATCGCCTTTGGCTGCTTGCTGGTTGCTGCTGACGTGTTGGGGCATGAAGAGTTCGGTGGGGGAAGCGGGTGATGAAGAGTTTGGTGATGTTTGGTGGAAGCATGGCAGTAGTTGAGTTTTCCCTTTGTGCATCTTATATTAACTATACTATTGTCACGCTGCCCCAACTCGTGTCATGGTACGGTTGATGCCATTCATGCGGTTCAGGGTTGCTGCACTTGTTGCAACGCAACACTGCTGCTGCTGCCTTTGCTGCTGCCTTTGCTGCTGCTGCTGCTTTGCTGCTGCTGCTTTGCTGCTGCTGCTGCTGCTTGGCTGTTGCTGCTTTGCTGCTGCTGCTGCTTTGCTGCTGCTGCTTTGCTGCTGCTGCTGCTGCTTGGCTGTTGCTGCTTGGCTGCCTGCTGCTGCTGCTGCTTGGCTGCTTTGGCTGCTGCTTGGCTGCTGCTTGGTGGCTCCTGCTGATGCTGCTGCTGCTTGGTGGCTCCTGCTGATGCTGCTGCTGCTGCTTGGTAGCTGCTGCTGATGCTGCTGCTGCTTGGTAGCTGCTGCTGCTGCTTGGTAGCTGCTGCTGCTGCTGCTTGGTAGCTGCTGCTGCTGCTGCTTGGCAGCTGCTGCTGCTGCTGCTTGGTAGCTGCTCCTGCTGCTGCTGCTGCTGCTGCTTGGTAGCTGCTACTGCTGCTGCTGCTGCTGCTTGGTAGCTGGTGCTGCTGCTTGCTAGCTACTCCTGCTGCTGCTTCTGCTGCTGCTTGGCTGCTTTGGCTGCTGCTTGGCTGCTGCTTGGCTGCTGCTTGGCTGCTGCTTGGTGGCTCCTGCTGATGCTGCTGCTGCTTGGTGGCTCCTGCTGTTGCTCCTGCTGTTGCTGCTGCTGCTTGGTAGCTGCTGCTTGGTAGCTGCTGCTGCAGCTGCTGCTGCTTGGCAGCTGGTGCTGCTGCTTGGTAGCTGCTCCTGCTGCTGCTGCTGCTGCTGCTGCTTGGTAGCTGGTGCTGCTGCTTGCTAGCTACTCCTGCTGCTGCTTCTGCTGCTGCTTGGTAGCTTCTGCTTGCTGCCGTTGCCGCTGCTGATTACAGTTATTGTTGTTGTGGCTGTTTCTGCTGCTGCTGCTGCGGCGGTTTCTGGGGTGGTTGTGTGTTGCCATGTGTTGGCTGTGTTGGGGTCGTATTGGGGGCGCGCTGTTGGCACTCTCCTTTTCCCTTGGCCATGGCATGTTGCGATTCCCGGCCTGGCTTTTGCTGCCTAAAGAGCCCCAGCGTTGTTTATTAGCCTAGCTTTCGCCACCCCCCTCTGGGCCACAAGTATTCAACCTGAAGTGGCTAGCAGAACCATGTGCAAGCGGACCACTTGCAGCAGTCCAGCTTGCAGAGAGAGAGAGAGAGATAGATAGATAGATAGATAGATAGAGAGTGTGAGGTAGTGGGAGGTGAGGTGAGGTGAGGTGAGGTGAGGTGAGGTGGGTGAGTGAGTGAGTGCTCGGGGTTTTCATGTTTTTTCCATTCAACGTGCTTGATTGTAGCAGTATTTGATTCCCCTAGTCACCCTCCTGCTAACGCATGGCGCAGAGTATTTGCAGCTGGCCAGCCCATGAAGGGTCAAGTAGTTTCCAAGTTGTCAGGAGGCTAACTGTTCCTGGAAAAAGTGTGAAGTTGTCCGGCGTACTTTGTTCAGCGCAGGTGATGCGGGGAAGGCATTCTGAAATCCTCAGCCAGTTGAAAGCCAAGCTAGAGGCGTGCCGCGGCGTGCCGCATGCTTTCCAGCTGGGCTTTGGGGCTTTGGGCTCTCTCACGCGGCAGAGATTTCTGGATTTTTGCACGACGCTTTCGATTTATGTATGTGCGCATGCATGCGTTCTTTAAGAGTAAATCGAAGTAGGCTGCTTTGTTGTGGTCCCTGCAAATGCACTTGTCCGTGATCTCACTTTGCATGGATCCAATATGATTCAATTGACTCAATCGCTTTGTTTGCTGCTATGGCCAAAGGCCAGAACATCACCCACCAAGATTTGCAGAGGAATCATGAACGACTGCAGTGCTGCTTGCCTTTGAGCGACATGACTCAACCTGTCGTCCGGCTTCATTTTGGAGTCGTTCCATGCCAGATTTCCCCCAAAGGTTTGCCCATGTTCCTTTTCATTTTACTTCAACTTCTTGCCAAGTCCCATCCCGATGTCTTGCATTGCCAATCCTTTGTGCCAGCATGGGCAAATTTTGCGCTCCCTCGTTTGTCTTCATTTGTCTTCACCTGGCTGAGTTTCAGACTTGTCACATCATCCAATCTTCATTGACAATCCATACAACGACCCAATGATTCATGGCTGTTTTCCCCATCGAGTGTATCTGTATACTTCAGGCCCCAAGTAGTACGTCAACGTATGTCAACGTGCTTCCAAGCTTTGCTTGTGAGGAAGGTCTGAACAGCACAGTTCTGTGAGGACCCTCCCAAACCGAAGCCGCCTCCGCACCAGCCGACCCAAATGACCATCAAGCGCAACTTGGTGGCACATTGGAGTTGATGCATGATGATGCATGTAGCCCAAATCGCAGACGTTTTTTTTGCATGTGTTTCAGCGTTTGGCTTTTCTGAAGGCATGGAGCCAGACCCTCCCGGCGTCTCTCGTTTAGACCTGGAATGGTGTTGACACTTTAGTAGCTGACTGTGCTTGCTGTGCTTTCGTTGGCGTGGGATAAAGGTGGGTGCTTGGAGAGAGATTGCCAAAGACTGAGGTTCTTGTGGTTACGGAGGATTGGGCGGGACCGCGGCCGAATGACAGCAGTCCCACTAAAAAAGTGGTGTCGCTGACGGATGACACGGATGCAAAATCTGCTGGAGATGACACTTGGCCCAAGGAAGAAGATTTGGTCACACAGACTGAGTGCCAAATAGTTTTTGGAGGAGGCCGTTTGTGTTTGTTTCGGCAGCAGGACAGTTGTGATGGATTGTGTTTTTCGGTTTGCCTAGATGGTGGCTGATTGTCGGCCAAGGAATCCAGATCCTGTAGGCCATCCATTCTGTCCGAAAATTCGCAGACTCTGGCGGCAAGGCAAGGGCAATTTGAAAGCGACGCTTGGCAAAGGTTTTTTTTTTTCTCGCCTCTTTTTTGAGAACATATGCTGCGTTGTTCTATGCGTCAATGCATAGCAACTGCAATTGGTATCTCTTGTGTGCAAACCAGGAAAATGAGACCGTCAAAAGCAGAGGAAACATGAGCGTACGCCACATGGTTGCACGAAGTGAAGAGACAGGGTGTCCTTGCAGAGGCTCTTTTTGGCCGCAAGGTTGACCAAACAATTAGGAGCGTTTGTAGTATGTAGAATGCTCCCATGATGTGAGGAGTCGAGTTTATATATATATATATATTATATTTGTATACTGTATATATATATATAAACTACAACTATATACATATAATCACACACATATATATATATATGTGTATTATAGGTTTACATCATTGTTTGAGTTTATGATAGTTTATGTATATAGATTCACACATGCAGTTTGACTTGGTGATACTTTGTGTAAGCATGGCAGTTGCACGTGACCCTTTTGACTTTCACTTCCCCGCAGAGCGGCGGGCTCAAGAACCTAAGCCAGAAACAGGTGAGGACGAATCGCACATCGTGCGGCCCAGGACGGGCTGGGTTTTGCCCTTTTCTGTAGGCACCTTGCACGGTAGGCGGAGCTGCTTGCACCGATCCTTGCAGTGCTAGCGGCGATGCCTGAAGAGATCCCCGCGTGGGACGGGGGCCCTTCTGAGAGTTCAAGAGCTTTGCAGCCAACCGCTGCTGGTAAGTAGGAAACTTCCTTCGGCGAGTACTTGAGCTTAAGGACTTTGCAGCCGAGACTTGCTGTGCTTCGAGAAAGTCCCCGGCCAACTCCTTCCCTGCGGGGAGTGGAGCGTGCTCAAAACGAGCCTTCAACATTACTTTCAATAACTTTCAAGATTACCGAAAGTGCACTTGGCCGGCAGCTTGCGCATGAAGAAGGAGAAAAACTAATCAACGACATGCTGGAGTTTGGACAGCCGCGGGACCCCGCCGGCCTCGCTCCTTCCACTCGTCCCTTCTAAGTTAGGAACGCAAACCAGTTGGTGGGCCAAGACTGGGCTTGGCAGAGAAAGAGTCTATTGTCAATCTGACCGCCTGAGCCTCCACGATCTCAACGACTTCGCGCGCTGCATATCGCCAGGTGCCAACCCTCGCCAGAACCCCGTCAACTGAGATTTGGCTTGTTCAAAAATAAAGCCGGGACAAAATTAGATAAAACGTAACAAAATGCAGGACGATTTCGTGGGCACGCTGAGGGGCATGGCAGAGAAATTCAGCTGGCCATGGGGTGCCGATGACAAGACGCCACGCCAGTCGCCGGGCCAAAACCTTTTCGACTCAACCCACGACGGTGGTGCTGTAAGCATGGCCGTGTGACCTTATTTTTTTAAATTTCCTCACTTCCCGCAAGGCGGCGGGCTCGAGAACCGAGCGGGCTGGGACGGTGTATGGGGGTTTGTGCTGTGTGTGTCTGATGCCCATGCTGCTGTTTATGTTGTAGAATGGCGCGGGTGAAAGTTATGCATGCATTGGACATGTTTTTGAAGATTATGATGCCAGACTCTTCGTGCGAGTTTGGGGTCCGAGGCATGACTCATAGCATTCCGCACTTGCGGAAGAACAGCCTCCTCGAGGGAATTGCTGCAATGCCATTCTGGCATCCAGGCGTGGATGACCAATTTGGTGCACCACTGCGGCTTGCTGAGTCTGCTTTCTGAAATGTTAGCAGCACTTGGTAATAGCTTTGGTCGGCATTGTGATTAATGCGGTCAGTAGGCCCATGAATTCCTTCAAACGCATGAAGGAACCAACTGAACGACTTTTTCTGCGTGACGTGACTTGACATTGTCACCGCCAACCCAGCTGTTCGGGCAGGCCGGTATGTGCATACCACGCAGTTCGATGCCCTGTTTTGTGGCGTCATCCTGGCAAACACGTTGGTGAAACACAGCTGCACTCAAAACATGTTGTGGTGTTGTGTTTCCCCACCTGACAGGACCGGGGTAACTACGTAACTAGTTTGTAATCTTATTTTTGACCTCTGCTTCTGCAATTTTTTGCCGGAACCACGTGGCAACACCCTTTAACAACCAGACGGCCGCAGAACAACACCAATGACCCCTGTCCTGCCAGCAGCCTTCCGAGCTGACCCCAGGTTCCATCCAGCCCCGACCAAGTGTCCCTCAACGATGAGTAGTCAATTCTTTTTGCGAAGTAGAATGGCCAAAATGAATATCATGTTCGGTGCGGTCCAAAAGTCGACTCACTAAGTTTATTATCTACTGTAAATATTTTGTTGTTCAATTTTCTTGCCATTCTTCGTGGGTGTGTGCGGCCTAGGATGGCATTGGAAATGCAATACACCGGTTTCCAGCGAGGATACGAGCTCGGATTTCCACATTTCACAGTGCCTGCGAGTTCCTTGGACTGTTGGCACACTGCTTACTTGCAAGAACACAGCCAGCATACCCCAACCAGTCAGAGACGTCCTGTTTGTTTGCAAGGGCTGTGTCAGCCAGGCAGCGCCGGCGATGCCTTTCACATCATGGGCGAAAACCACATTCCCGTAAAAATTCACGAGAAGCAAACTGGAGAGCTCCAGAACACTGCAAACGCTTGCTGCGAGGAATTCCAATTGCATCCAAACAAAGGTTCAACCCATGTCTGAACCATTTACATATTGATGCTGTTGCAACTCCAACGTGAATAGCCGGCCCAACCAACCCCAACAACCTGACGCTCATGTTGACAACTTCGCTGGTGTCTTTTTTTGGGAGCTGCTGCGTTAGACTAATGTGGCTAGCCCAGTTGATTGTTGAGGCTGCCTCTAGAGAAAATCCACAGAGAAAACCATAGAAATCTGGCATTTGACGTGAGATGAAACACCCTCACCAACAATCTGAGTTTTGTCCCGAAAGCTCAACTCTATGCCTTGACGGATGGATCATCCGGTTGAGGCGAGTACTGGCCGCAGGCAGCTACAGTGTTCCAAGCACTGGACCGCCCCTGGTGGTGTGGCATTTTTGAAAGATACATAACACGTCCAGGCATGTCCAGGCTAGAAGCAAGAAAGTAGTAGTCGTCGTCGTAGTAGTAGTAGTAGCAGCAGAAGCAGCAGTAGTTGGCGGTGGTGGTGGTGTCGTCGTGTTGTGCGACTGGTTTTCGCATAATTCTTTAAAGTAATTTTTTTCTTCCAGGAGGTTTTGGTTTGGTCAACAAACGGTGCGCCTTTTCCAGGATGTTTGTTTTGGCATCGTCTACACCATTGAGTTGATCGTCAAACTGGTGGGTTTTAAACTTCGGTTCTTCAAGGACGTCTGGGCAGGTGTCTTGAACGGATCACATGAAGAAAGTCCAAAATGTTTTTTCTCGAAAGTAGCAAGCTGTTTTTCCTGTTGAAGCATCCAGTCCATTTTCCTTTTTTTGGTGGCATTTGGAATTGTGTGTTGTGCATCTAGCGGCAGGATTATTGGAACATTTTTGATGGCTTGTTGGTCACAATGTGGCTGGCAGAGATTTCTCTGAGAGATGTGATACAGTTAGAGCCTGGAATTTTGCGCCCCCTGGCAAGAATCAGTCCTGAAATGTGAAGTTTGACGATATTTCAACGTCAAATTGAATGACTGGTCATTGTTTGCATGTCGAAGTGCCTGTGCGTGCGGGTGCGGTTTGTCGCAAGTTGTACTTCCAAGGTATGATGCGAATGTGCCGGCTTTTGCGCTTGATACGATTGGTCAAAACAATCCAAGGTCGCTTGGCATGCAAATATGAATGTGATTTGTTGAGGCCCGTGTTCCAGTCTTGTGACATTTGAGGGGGGACCCCAAAAGGGCCACTGTAACTAGAACATACTAGAACTATCATGCCATGAGTCCTGCTCATTGACAAAACGAGGGTTTTGTCCAGATGATTTTGCGTTCGTGCTATTTTGTTCGGTGCTGATATCGGCGACACGCTTTCGATATGCGATAGCACCAAACGAGAACCCATCGGGGACGAGCCATCCACCGGCGACTCACCCAGCCCAGCTGGTCGTCCGAGGTTTTGATGCGCTTTACATCATGACGACGGCCATGTTGGGGAGCACTGTGTGTCTCTTTTGGTCGTTCATGTCCCTTGGCCGGCCGCCGGCCGCCAAGCAGGTGTCCAAACCAGGTTGCCTACAAGAGGGGTCAAGTGTTGCAAACTCAGCTGTGAATTGCCTCTCAGGTTGCTGATGACTGTCCAAGTCATGATTGCTTTCTTTCTGAATGAGTCCTTGGAAGTTTATTTCAATGATCCAGGGAAGCCTGCCTCCTGTATGCAGCTGGAGGGTTTCGTCCAGTGTTTCACTTGCGTGCTTCTGGGTTACAGCCAGAGTGTTGAGTGCCGCTGCCAAAGCTGAGACATGCTGCCAAAGCTTGCGATGGTTTTTGTCAGACAAGGTCTCCGAAAAGCTCGAGGTGTTTGAGTACTTTGGGACCACAGCCAGAGTGATGCTCACTATGTTTGAGCTCACCCTCGCGCATCTCGGACAGGTTATGACTCAAGGGCTTGTGTGAGGCACGCAGAGATTACCAGGGTCGTTCATGGCTTCAGGGCCAACAATGACTTCAGACAGTTATCTCATTTCATCATATTTTTTTTATCGCTTTATTTTATTTCTTTAAGTTCAGCTCTTTGTTCCTCATTTCTTGTCATCACATCAATTTGCTCAAAATCTCGATGCTGTTTTTTTGCAGCGTTCCCATTTTGCTCATTCCACTGGCATTGTGCTCCGCTCCGGAAAAACCTAACAAGTATGCAGTTCTAGATTTGGCAAACCAGGCCCACTATGGTAGATGATACGGTCCATTAAGCGGGTGACCTTGAAAGACCTGACGACCCTATTGATGTTCTGCTTGCTAAACCATGTAAACCCACTTCCAAGGAATTGGCCAGTGGCTGCTCGAATATTGCAGGAAAATGTGACTGATGCTGGGAAGCAGTCTAGCATTCCATGCCAAATGCCACCATATGCCACCTGCCTGTGCCAAACCCAATCTGGCTCAAGGAATACTATTCAATATTTTCCGTCGCCTACAAGCTGATCGTTGGTTTCGCCGCAGTGGGCATCATCAATGGTGTGTTTATGCACCTTGAATGGTTGATGTGAGAGCCTATAGATGCGTTTTATGTATGCTTTGGCTACACTGCGGGATTTTTTCTTCCACAAGTTGTGTCATATTGTGGCGCTTGTGAATTTTGTGCTGTGAGCAGGCAAGAGACTTTCAAAGTTGCAGCTTCAGACGACAAGCTCATGATGCGGCAGAAGGCCAACAAAGCCGAAATGTCACAATTCAAAAAGCTGTGGGCTAACTTGGCAAAGGTGCCAAAGACCTCAAAACAGAATGCCTGAGACTGTGCATGTGCTTGACGCTACTTGTGTAATAACCTGTTTCTTTTTGCAGGAGCGAGATCGCTGGCTCCACACCAAGAAGATGAAAACACTTTTTGAGGCTGCGGATGAGTCTGGAGATGGCTACATTGATGCTCAGTTAGTCTTGCTTGAGAACTTGTTAGTTCAAGATGCCCCCCTGAAGACCCCTGCGGTAGTGAAACTGACAGCTGAGGATAGAGAGGAGTTCTGCGATATCATGAACATTCCAGAAGTCAGGACAGACATCCACAACTTGCAGCCAACCTGTTGCCAACCTTTGTGCCAACCAATCATTCGTCCCATCATTGTATCTTGTATTATCGCCAGGACATGGCTTGCAGCTCAAGAGCTTCCAGTTCAGGACTCGATTTGTGAAACTGATTTTACGTTTCAAATCAGTTTCACTTGGTTGAAGTGTCACTACAGTGACTAAAGATGGCTACAGTGCTTCCATATTCCAGTTCGTGCCTAGAAGAAATACCAGAAGAACATGAGACCGAACCTGGATGGTTTCTGCTTTGATATAGGGCATTTGCACAAGGATCCAAATGTGTTGTTCAATTTGCTGGATGATGGTGATGCAGAGCTCACTGCCGTGCCTCGATTTCGACTGGGGTTGGGGGGCTGGTAGTAGAGTGCAGAGATTGGTGGACCAACCGGCTGAGATATCTAGGATTATCTAGGTAGAAGTCGAAGTGTCACTGTGGCACGGCACATGTTCTTGTTGCTGTGTTTGACATCGCTCTCGCCGTGCGTGAATTTACGCAGTGCGTGAATTTACGCAGCGTTCCTTGCCATTTCATGAGTACCAAGGAAGAACTCGTCAAAGGAGTTGAGCGGCTGAAGGGAACTGCCAAAGGCATAGACCTTGCAAGCTTCATCGCTGAATACCGCCGCCTGGCCAAGCAAGCGAGGTGTGTGGGAATCGCTGTGGGACGAATTTGAGGGGAATTCTTGCTAAGCGCTGTGTGGCGGGTCGCTGGGCAGCTGTTACTTTGTTCCAAACATGGAAAAGTGGAGCTCGCTCCCAGGCAGCTTCGCAGTGAAAGTCGCGGAAAAGCTGGATTTCCAGCTAGAGAGTCTAGCGAGCAAACCGCAAGAGGATAACGACGATGAGGAGTAGCACTGAGGGCACGTAAGCTGCAGTGGCAACAGTCAATAAATGTCAATAATGTATGATAAAATTCACCAATTGGTGTGTGCAAATCAGATACTGTCACTGTGTTCAGTACTTGTAGCTTACAGCGGCAAGGCTCCCTCCAGAAGACCCAGTTTCCCTCCTGAAAGGAGGACTACTACATCAAGCGACCGAGTGTTTAAAGCGGGTCAGGTTCTGAATTTGCCCATTTGCTTCCTGTGCATGCGTTTCACTTCACCCATTTTTCTTTTGCACAGAGCATATCCCCCAAAGAAAGCTTTCAAGACCATCCTTGTACAGTAGTTCTCTTGAGCAAGGCGTGATATAGAAACGCTTCTATCGTGTACTGCTTGCTTGCGGCTGACGAGGGCTTTCAGCTTGGGGTTCCCGCGATGATGCAAGATGTGGAGCAGAATGCCAGTCCCACCAGTTGTTTGCAATTGACTGTCGATGGGGCAGACTTGAGCAGTAAGAGCAGGTGGTCAAACAGTTCCATCAGATTTGTTTACATCAGAAATACCTGTACTCTATTGCGTTGTGTTTGTTGATTTTGTCAGAGTCACCTGTCGACATGTCATTGTCTCACTGACTGCTGCCCGCCACTGGCGCCTAGCTTTTGCCAAAGCAGCTGAGTCTCTCCGGTCGCTTCGCACAGGGAACTAGCAATTGAGAAGGAAAACGGGACAGCCGACTTAGTTGCGGTCCGGGGCTGTAGCTCTTGTCCTACCATATACTGTAATACCACACATACATACGCATATGTATATCATGCATATAATACTTATTACTACATATTTATTTGAGAGGCTTACTTTCCGGGGCTTACCGCCTAGCTTGCAATCGTGCTCCAGGTCTCAAGTGTGGTGTCCCATGGGGTCCCGTGTTCCTTGGGGTCCTCAGAGCCGGATTCTCCGTGGACGTTTCCCTGCTAAGGAGAGTAGCTTCTCCAGTGCAGCGAGAGGTGGCGATGTTATGATGTTTATAATGGCTATGATTTGTGAAGTGGTGGAGTGTAGGGTGGTGAGAGTAGCTCAGTGGTCAGCCAGCTGAATGCTAACAAGCGGCAAAGCATAAACACCTCAGCATGGTGCCCCGTGTTCGTCACGCTGGAATGCATGCCCGCCGGGATCAACATGGATCCACTATCCAGTCCTCGCGGCAACTCGCCGTCAAGCTAACAGCTAACACCAAGCTTTTGGAGGCTAGTTTGTGCAGACACGATGGCAAAATCATTTTGGCAAGCTACGCGCATGATTTGGACACTACAATTGCATTCCATGTAGCTGCGCCAGCATGTCCGCCAGGATGCGTTCCCCGGCAGAAACCGGAAAGCAACAACGCAGCGGCCCTTGCTCCCCATCACGTCATTGCTTGTCAAAACAACATGTTCTTAATGCCACTTCCTGGATAACGCAGCATGTGCAGCATATCATTGCAACGGGCGTTTGCTCACGCGCTTCACCCGCAATCTCGCTTGAGTTCTTGTTATTTATGTTTTTCCCCAAGGACCGACTAATTATCCGGTTTGTCAGATGTTTTTTTGCCAGCTGTTTCGTATGTCTTCGAACAACTAGCCGAGTCTAGTTACTCCAGTTGCCAATGGTAATTGCAATTCGGAGGTTTCCTTCTATATAACTTTCTTCCCACTTGTTTTCTTTGATTCCTCGGTTCGCAGGAACCGCATTTAGTCAACATACTGTCTGTCAAAATGCCTACGGAGCACAAAGTAAAGCTAAACAACAGAACAAGTACATGACACGCACAGTTGAGTGTTCTCCTCTTGTGGCCGCCGGATCCGGCCACGCCATCCAGCCAGGCGATTTAAAACCACACAGTGGGGCCACACAGTGGGACCATTTGGCCCAAAACCCATGGCTTCCAAAAGCAAATGAAGAAACAAATAAAACATGATAAAACCAGCTTCTTGAAAGTGACCTTTTTGGAGTCCCTGTTGTCAAGAAAGGTGGATCAAGTTGGATCCCTTCAAAGAGAACCCGCTGTGCCACGAAAGGTTGGTTCTACGATCAGCATCTACCTCTGATGTTCCAAGGCTCCTAAATTGGGTGAATGTGAGTGCTTTTCTGTGTGTTTTCCACTTGCCTGCGGCGAACCGATGTTTGCAGTTCTCAATGCCGTCATTCATTGCTCCTCGGCATTGTTGCCTCTCCTCACCATTGTTGCCAATGCCGTCTTTGGAGGGGGCAACGGCAAACAGACACCCACGCCCCATAGGAAACGGTGTGCTTGTGACAGTCTTGATCCTGATCTGCTGGCAGCTCCTCGTTACCCGCATGAAGCGATGACATCGCCAACGCTTCCACCCTTGCTTGGGCTGCATTGTCTGGCAGCCCTCCAACCCCAACAGCTCTGGCCACACGAGACAGCGCGGGGACATGTTGCACGCGGAAAGGATTCCTAGTGCCTCTTGGGCGTGAGTTTGGAAGCTTCTCTGACAGAAGCCGTCCTGAAAAACGCAGCTTACCTCAAAACCTTTGATCCAGGAGATGACCACGGGAAGTGTCTGAAGTAATTAGGTGGCAGTGTGGAGAGAAAAACACGCGGAAATTCCAGAATGCTCAAATTTCAGCATGTTCAATGGCCGACCGGCTGCGGCAGTGGATCAGAATGATCAATTACTACACGTCTCGATCGCGACATCGCCACAGGACGCAGGCAAATGAAAGATTATCTTCCCTCCGGAAGCAGCGATTAGCCTCTTCTCGTGCCTGGGTGGGCTGTGACCAAAGAGCTTCCCAAACGCTGGGGTACTGGCATGGATTGGCCTAAAGTTCTAAATATTGTTGTTTAATATTTGTCGATGGCATCCCACTACACAATACCCATCAATACCCCATGCATGCAATACCACACAAATATAGATTTACACAATTGGCCAAGCTTCGTTTGTGGCTTCGTCTACGTATCCAATCATGACAATCATGGACCAGTTCTTCCGCAGATGTGTTGTGAGTGCGTTGCCTCGATTCAATCCAGTCGAGCAAGTATAGGGTGTGCAATATATATATATAGGTTTCTAATAAATTGTTAACTATCATAACAACCGCCTACCAAACTCATGAAGCAGATTACAATATATAAATCAATTGTAAAACATACAATATAAAGACAGCAAAGCCACTTTAAACTTGTGATTCCATGCAGTAGGGTTTTCGGTTTTGGCAGACCCACCAGACCCGCAGCCACATGGGACCGGACTGGCGACTGGCCCAAAATGAGCTCCGGAGATCGGTCCCGCTCCGGAAATGGGTGTAGTTTGTTGCTAGTAGCTTCTTGCTACTAGTAGTAATGGCCTCCAACCCAATAGCAATGGCCTCCAACCTAGTATCTTCTTGCTACTAGTCCTTTTGAACTCAGATGGTGTTCTTTTTCTTCCTCAGCGGGTGACACACACCTGCAACAACGTCCCACATGAAGAGGTGACATCATGGATCATGGATGATCATCGCCGCCATTCTGCTGTTCTATTTTGCGCGAGCTTCGCCGACTCAGCTTCGCCTTGGCTGAGAACAAGGTGCGCCGCAACGTTAAGACTCGGGTTCTCCAAAAACCACAGGACATTTCAAGAAACATGTCTACAATAGAAAAGCCAAGAGGTGCGTCCAGATCCGTGTCCAGCCTTTATGTATCTTTATGTTTTTGGTACACTTTCGGAAATTCGTACCTTGAAGCTGATGTAGCTGTAGGTCAACAACATGTTTCGGCCTCAGTGTGCTTCAGATCAGGCATGCATGCATTGTTTGTTTAATAGATGTGAAACAAACACCACAATGGACCGCCATTGTTGGTGACTTGGGCAAAACACGGACTCAAGTAACTCAAGTACGAATGCTGTGCCGTACAACTTGTTGGTTTGGATCGACGGAATTGATAAATTCCATGCTGTTTGCACCAAAGAAGTTAGCGGTGAAGACCATGCAACACCCTCGCACTGTGTTGTGACTGCTCAGGCTTCATGCCACACGCTTAATCACGGTTTCCTTGCAAGTGCGCACACATAAGAAACACATTCAAGACATATGTTAGAAAAGCTTGTCCCTTTCACATTGGGCTTTGCAAGATTATGGGGCCGCAAAAGTGGCTGCGCTGCATATCCAAGAATAAGATAAGAAGCACAGGTTTTGGGCCCCCTCTCATTTGTTTGACCTCCCAAATCCACTACGTCCCATAGTGCAGACTGACTTTTATACACGCCAATATAACATTGATTAGAGCAACTACGTTAGCAACGCCGGCCGTCCCACTCACTTTTTCCTTTCTTCATTCAATGCTTTTTTTCTATTGGTTGAGTCCCCATAGCGCTTACCATTTGCCATATTTATGTTGTTCTGATCTCCCATGAGTTTCATGTTGGTGACTTTTCACATAACCAGTTGAAATGCGTGAGATATAGATGAACTACGCGAACTAGCCGCGCACCTATTCTCAGTTGAGGCACGGTGATATCACATCTATTGCCTTGGGCTTTGTTTTGCAGCCAGTGCCCCTCATCAGCACTTAGTGCTGCTGCGTTTTGCCGTGTAGGCATAGATAGATAGATAGATAGATAGATAGATGTGTGCAGGATTTTTTTGAACTTTTGCCGCTTTTGAGCCACTGTGGAGCAAAGTTTAGTAGGTTCCGTCATTCGTCGTGGCCATCCATCGACCTACCCATGGGAGACAGTGGGCAAAATGGAAAGAAGAAGGCCAGAGATAGCAGCTCAGAAAGTGGGACCCCAGATTGGCTCAAAAAAGCGCCGGGAGAAACAATCTCGTGGTGAGCTCAAAGAGGATCGTGGAATGATGGGAGGAGAGAAAGGAGAGAAGGGCGACAAGGGTGGCAAGGGCGGCGGAAAGGAACCCAGGCCAGGGGATTGGAAATGCCCCAGCTGTGGCAGTAACAACTTTGCAAGAAGGACCGAGTGCTTCAAATGCGGCACAAAGAAGCCGGCCGAGGGGAAAGGTCGCAGAGACTCTCGCTCTCGTTCTCGTGGCAGACGGTGAGATGGTGCTGACTGGGCACCTGGCTACTTCCACGAAGTCTCGTCGAAGCCAAACAAGCCTTGCTGAGTTGGTCACCAGTGGGCTTACCATTTGTTCGATGGGAGTCTCGATGGAATGAAAGCGCCAAAGTTGTCCAACAGGGTGAAAAAGGCACCTTGTCATAGAAAAACATGTACATTAGTAAGGATCATTAAATGGCCTGGATGCCTCCGATGCGAAAAAGACGAAAAAGATCGCCTTTCACCTTTGCACCACTTGCTATGCAACATGAAATAGGCTTTTGGTTGCACATCTGAACGGGCCTGCTCCAGGTACAGCTGTGATGCTTGAGATGAGGCGTGGAAGAGCTTCGTGTCGACGAGGGTGGCAGTCATTTTGACTGACCTCACCTGGCATCAATGTGTAAAGCCAGTTGGCCGCCAGAACACCAAACTTGAACAATCTTGAACAGACATTGAACCAAGTCATTCTCCTCCACTCACTCCTTTTCGCTGTAACCAGGAGGCACTTGCTGTCACAAGTCAGAAAGAGTCAAGGTGTTCCTGCAGTCAAGGTCATGTGCTGGCATGTGCCGCATTGTCCTACATCAAATTTATATACTGTACTTACCCCATCTTACCCCAAGACAGCTTGGCGCCAGGAATTCAACCGCTTAGTGCTGAAATTTCTTTGGAGCAACAATGCAAAGATGGGACACCGATAGAGTTTCACAGATTTAGCAGCTAAGCAGCGTCCTGCCTCGTGCCATGGGAAACACGAGCGCCAAAGACACGGAGATGGTGATATGCAATAGAGGTGTGCACGAGTGTTCATTTCCGATGTATGTCGTCAAGGTTTCAGACTTTCTGGAGATGGAGGGTCCACCTGAACCACATCATGTCTTGCAGCAAAAAGGTTTGCTTCACAAATGGCAACCAGGAATGTTTGCGATGTTCATCTCGCATCAGTGGTTGGGTGCCAAATCTCCAGACCCCTTTGGGCAGCAGGTGACAGTGCTGCGGCATGCTCTGCGGGCATTTATCGATGGATCCATGAAGGTGGAGGTGGATCTCATGCGCACTTTTGGCGATCCCAACGTGTCCACTTCGACTCAGCGGGTAGCTGATGGATATCTTTTCTTGGATTGGTTTGCAATCCCACAGATTACTGAAAGAAGCGATAGTGTCAAGGATGATGCGTCAATGTCAAACACGGCTCAAGCTGTGCAGAGCATTCCAGCCTATGTAGAAGCTTGTGATATGTTCCTGGCACTCGTGCCGGACTTAACTCACAGTGCTACTGGTGTTCAATGCAACTACAGCACGTGGCTTTCGAGGGGCTGGTGTAGGGCAGAGCTTTGGTGCCGCTTGCTCTCAAATCGAGAGGACACCAGTGTGATTGTGATCTTCTCAGCCCGAGAGGCGCTCTACATTTTGCCTTTGGATTGGCAAAGAAGCCTGATTTCAGACGGCTTGTTCACTGTGGAAGAAGATCGTGCCGTGGTGGTGAAACTTGGAGAGGCAGCAGTGAATAGTAAGATTGAGCACCTTTCGAAGTGGGGACCTTTGGTGGACTATCGCTTCCACCTAGCTCAGCAGCCCAAGTTGCTAAAGCAAGCGAAGGAAGCTTGGGATCTGCAGGGTTTCTTGCGACACTTCGATTTCCCTACTGTTGACGCGGCAGTGAAGCATGAAAGTGGTATGACTGGCATGTTATGTGCAATGTTTGCAGGTGATGTGGACATGTTGCACACCTTGGTGGAACATGCTGCAGACGTGAATGCTCGTGTCAGTGGTCTCGGACACTTGGGCTTCTATGATTCAAACACGCTGCTTATGGTTGCCGCCTATAGCGGCCAAGATCCCAAGATGCTGTCTGCCCTCATGAAATGTCATGCAGACCCCAATGTGGCCTGTGTTTCTGATACAGGCTCAATTGTGAATGCATCATGGTGTGCAACTCATCCTGGGCATGTGAAGGTGTTGCTGGAACAGCGTGCCGACTTTGAGACGTCGCCACCATTGACAGGTGTTGCAGGAATTGCCTCTGTCGAAACCGTGCAGGCCTTTTTGGAGGCCAGGTGTGACCCAAGCAGTCTCGGCCCAAATGGTTTCGGTCCAATGTACAGTGCACCCTTTTTTGGTCGTGGCAATCCACACGCATGCGACATCATGCAACTGCTCTTGTCCTACAGTGGTGATGTCAATGCTCAGGCCAAACCACATGGACTCTTATACTGGGATTGTTTGAAGGCGCGGTTTGCTGCTAAGCTTTGGGGTCTCGAAGGGTGTGGTGTGTACCAGCGTCAAATGGCTGCTCTTCCCGGGGCTACGCCTCTGTCGCTTGCAGCAGTGATGGGAGATAAGGCGCTGGTGACGCTCCTCCTGGATAACGATGCCGAACATATTGCCAATGATCGCGGAGATACACCAGAAGACTTGGCAAGGGCAGCAGGTCATAGCGAATTGCTGCCCATTCTCTCAACCTTTTTTGTGTAGCACTAGCCGAGTTGTGGCCCTGACCGGTGGCGCTAAATGGCGCTTGATCCGGAACTGGAGGTAAAGAGGAAATGCAGACCAGGAAGCGGGTCTGGATATCCGCCATCCAAAAAAGAAAACAGACATGCAAACTCTTCAGTCGGCGCAAGAGCTTCAAACCAGCTTCATGCTCATGGTGAGCAGCTAGGGCTTGTTTGGTGTTGTGACATGTTGTGACCACAGTTGAGGTGCATTTGCTGTCCCTGGCCGACAAGCAAAACACATCGGGGCCCTGTGAGTGTGCATGCAGGAGAGAAGATTGGGTGGAAATGTGCGTTGAGAAACCATGGCAACTGTATAGAAGCCAACTATATCTCCAACATCCAATAGGTCGCGTGCAAACAGTCTGCAGGTCGGATTGGAAGCACACGTTCAAGCTTTACAAACTTCTCAGTGCGCGTAGAGCCTTTGTCGACGCTCTGACACGTTTGGGTATGAGGTCCGAAGCCACCACTGGCAAACGTAGCACCACAACAACCCATTCACTTCTCCTTCATGGTTTCGTGCAGTGATTGGCTTCCGAACGTTACGTAACATCCCAACCCACCCCACCCCACTCTCAGTCACTCGTATTGTGTGCGTAGCGTAGAAGGGTTTCTTCTGTGTGGGTGTGCAAATTGAACGCGCCATCCGACCAAAACCGACGGAATCGTGGAACAATTCTGAAGTCGTAAATACAGTGTGTTTTACATCGACCGACGAAAACACGCGCCGGCAAATACGTGTATTTTCCGCGACAAATTCCGAAAAGAAACAGTAACTATCCCAAATACGCGCAAATGAAGTATGAAAGTACACGCGAGGTTAAAACACGCACAGTCTTAAATAAACCCGTCTGCCTATATTTATATGTAGAAGGTGGGCTCGGGTCCACTTTACTCAGACCGCTCATGCTCATTATTTTCGATATGTTCTATTTTGTTGATCTATTTTCCATGTCTCTTTCTGTGTTACAACTTGATGCTTCAACCTTGCACGGCCCAAGGCCTCGGAAGCAGTGTAGGCGTGGTTAAGCCCGTGGGGCCCGTTGTCCTGGTAGGGCTCTGGTGCGTTCTCGAATTTTCAATGTGGTTTTAAAGATTTGTTTAAAACCAATGTTTTTTGTCCATCAATTTCTGTCTTCCAATCGCTGCATCGTAGCAGCTACTGTACAAAACATCATCCTTCTTGCCAATTCAGCCGTTTCATCAAGGTCATCAGCTTTTGTTAGAGTTGTCCGCTTGCAGGAGCTCTCATAGAATTGAGTTAGTTCGGCGAGAGGCGGGCAACAATGTGTAAAGCCAGCTGGCCGCCAGAACACCAAACTTGAACGGACATTGAACAACTTGGTGACATCATTCTCCGCTCACTCCTTTTCGCTGTAACCAGGAGGCACGTGCTGTCACAAGTCAGAAAGAGTCAAGGTGTTCCTGCGGTCAAGGTCATGTGCTGGCATGTGCCGCATTGTCCTACATCAAATTTATATACTGTACTTACCCCATCTTACCCCAAGACAGCTTGGCGCCCGGAATTCAACCGCTTAGTGCTGAAATTTCTTTGGAGCAACAATGCAAAGATGGGACACCGATAGAGTTTCACAGATTTAGCAGCTAAGCAGCGTCCTGCTTCGTGCCATGGGAAACACGAGCGCCAAAGACACGGAGATGGTGATATGCAATAGAGGTGTGCACGAGTGTTCATTTCCGATGTATGTCGTCAAGGTTTCAGACTTTCTGGAGATGGAGGGTCCACCTGAACCACATCATGTCTTGCAGCAAAAAGGTTTGCTTCACAAATGGCAACCAGGAATGTTTGCGATGTTCATCTCGCATCAGTGGCTGGGTGCCAAATCTCCAGACCCCTTTGGGCAGCAGGTGACAGTGCTGCGGCATGCGCTGCAGGCATTTATTGATGGATCCATGAAGGTGGAGGTGGATCTCATGCGCACTTTTGGCGATCCCAACGTGTCCACTTCGACTCAGCGGGTAGCTGATGGATATCTTTTCTTGGATTGGTTTGCAATCCCACAGATTACTGAAAGAAGCGATAGTGTCAAGGATGATGCGTCAATGTCAAACACCGCTCAAGCTGTGCAGAGCATTCCAGCCTATGTAGAAGCCTGTGATATGTTCCTGGCACTCGTGCCGGACTTAACTCACAGTGCTACTGGTGTTCAATGCAACTACAGCACGTGGCTTTCGAGGGGCTGGTGTAGGGCAGAGCTTTGGTGCCGCTTGCTCTCCAATCGAGAGGACACCAGTGTGATTGTGATCTTCTCAGCCCGAGAGGCGCTCTACATTTTGCCTTTGGATTGGCAAAGAAGCCTGATTTCAGACGGCTTGTTCACTGTGGAAGAAGATCGTGCCGTGGTGGTGAAACTTGGAGAGGCAGCAGTGAATAGTAAGATTGAGCACCTTTCGAAGTGGGGACCTTTGGTGGACTATCGCTTCCACCTAGCTCAGCAGCCCAAGTTGCTAAAGCAAGCGAAGGAAGCTTGGGATCTGCAGGGTTTCTTGCGACACTTCGATTTCCCTACTGTTGACGCGGCAGTGAAGCATGAAAGTGGTATGACTGGCATGTTGTGTGCAATGTTTGCAGGTGATGTGGACATGTTGCACACCTTGGTGGAACATGCTGCAGACGTGAATGCTCGTGTCAGTGGTCTCGGACACTTGGGCTTCTATGATTCAAACACGCTGCTTATGGTTGCCGCCTATAGTGGCCAAGATCCCAAGATGCTGTCTGCCCTTATGAGGTGTCATGCAGACCCCAATGTGGCCTGTGTTTCTGATACAGGCTCAATTGTGAATGCATCATGGTTGGCAACTCATCCTGGGCATGTGAAGGTGTTGCTGGAACAGCGTGCCGACTTTGAGACGTCGCCACCATTGACAGGTGTTGCAGGAATTGCCTCTATCGAAACCGTGCAGGCTTTTTTGGAGGCCAGGTGTGACCCAAGCAGTCTCGGCCCAAATGGTTTCGGTCCAATGTACAGTGCACCCTGTTTTGGTCGTGGCAATCCACATGCATGCGACATCATGCAACTGCTCTTGTCCTACAGTGGTGATGTCAATGCTCAGGCCAAACCACATGGACTCTTATACTGGGATTGTTTGAAGGCGCGGTTTGCTGCTAAGCTTTGGGGTCTCGAAGGGTGTGGTGTGTACCAGCGTCAAATGGCTGCTCTTCCCGGGGCTACGCCTCTGTCGCTTGCAGCAGTGATGGGAGATAAGGCGCTGGTGACGCTCCTCCTGGATAACGATGCCGAACATATTGCCAATGATCGCGGAGATACACCAGAAGACTTGGCAAGGGCAGCAGGTCATAGCGAATTGCTGCCCATTCTCTCAACCTTTTTTGTGTAGCACTAGCCGAGTTGTGGCCCTGACCGGTGGCGCTAAATGGCGCTTGATCCGGAACTGGAAGTAAAGAGGAAATGCAGACCAGGAAGCGGTCTGGATATCCGCCATCCAACAAAGAAAACAGACATGCAAACTCTTCAGTCGGCGCAAGAGCTTCAAACCAGCTTCATGCTCATGGTGAGCAGCTAGGGCTTGTTTGGTGTTGTGACATGTTGTGACCACAGTTGAGGTGCATTTGCTGTCCCTGGCCGACAAGCAAAACAAATCGGGGCCCTGTGAGTGTGCACGCAGGAGAGAAGATTGGGTGGAAATGTGCGTTGAGAAACCATAGCAACTTTGAGATAGTATTACAGATATTACAGTAGAGCACGGTGGACTTGGGCCCCTCTATCTGTCTATCTATCTATCTATCTATGTATATCTATATATATATAGTAGTGTTGACATACGCCTACCCAAACGCACCTTTTCAGAGCGGTGCCGATTCTCACCACATAGCATTGCGGCACAGAGGAACAAGGTCCGCATAGCTGCATAGCTTAACGGTATTTTGACTAGTTTTCAGTGGCTGAACCTGAAATGCAGGTTATCAGCCGTAGCCTTTGCCATGGCTACACCGGCGCTCAACAACCGGCCGCCGGCGGCGACCTCGTGCCCGAGGACGTTGTTATGGGATCAGAGGGTGTGCAGCGTAATTTCAGTTCATCCAGAACAACCTTCAGCACATTGCATCAGGCAACGAAGATGCTGTCTCCGTGAAGCAGAACAGCGGCGTCAGGAGATCATGCAGACCACCATCGGCACCTTATGTAGTCAGTGCCGGCTCGCAATAGAGCCAACCTGCCATTGAGAAACGGAGCCGGCGCAGCAGCAGCCAGTGCCAACTGTGCCCGCGCAGCCAGAGAACGCTGGCCGCGAGGTCAAGCCCAAAGCCAGTGAAGCAAGCATCGGCTGGAAGGCGCGACTTGGTGCAAAGTTCGCTGAGAAGTTAGATGGAATCTTCACCGTGCGAATTTCGCCTGGTTTTGGAACTCCTGCAGGTGGTGACACCGGCTGGGACAAAGAGAAGGAACTGTTCGTTGATGCCCGTGAACATCTAGATGAAAAGGTTTCGAGTGCAGGTGATGGAGCAGATGATGGCAAAGTAATCCCAACATGTCCCAATTGCCTTGGGTACTGCTTCAGGTGATGCTGGTGCAATCGTTGGCAGTTTGCCTGAGTTGCTCAAAGGGTTGAAGTCCAAAAAGGATGATGAGGTACTATCCAGTTTGTCAGTTAGAGAGCTTGTGAGGTCCTCATCAGATAAGCCAGATGAAGCATGGAAGTGGATCATGGAAGTATGGTGCGGCTAAGGCCAAAGGAGCACAAAGGCCCCCTCATTTTGCAGTGCCACCGAAGGCCGCACCTGTCTGTCACTCAGGTTGCCCCATTCCTGGAACCGGAAGCGGAAGCATCGCCTGTCGGAGCTGGAGTAAACGCAATTGCACCATATTGCACCTTTGACATCAGGGACGTGCCCATTGCCAAGTTTCCGCCAGCGCTAGCATGGCTTGCGTAGATTGTGTATAGAGCAGCATTTTGATTCGTTTTCGCGGTTGAGCCGCGAAGATTTTTTCGCTAGCGTCACAGCTATGTCCTCGTTGTCCTGCTCCATTCGCGCCCTGCTGCGATCGCAGGGGTGTTGAAATACGCGTGGCCCAAACATGCCCAAACATACCTTTTCAGAATGGTGCCGATTCTCACCGCATAGCCTTGTGGCTCAGTGGAATAAGGTCCTTAACGGTATTTAGACCGGCTTTCAGTGGTTGAGCCTGAAAATGCAGGCCTTGGGGTTCACTTTTCTCTCTTAGACCGAGGTTGTCTTTTAAAATAATATAATGCCTCAATGTTTCATTTTTCGATGTGCTTAGTTCTTTCACTTAACTTCCATATCAACCCATTTTGTTTTACTACTTGGTGCTTCAACCTGCAAGGCTCAAGAACTGAGAAGTTACGGCGGTGTCGCCGTGGTAAAGACCCCGCGGGGTCCGTCGTCCTGGTAGGGCAGGGGTGTGTTCTCGAATTTTCAATGTGTTTTAAAGATTGTTTGAAGCTAATCACGAAAGCTAGCCTTAGCTAGCTGGAGTTGCTCTTGCTTTAGCAAGTTAAGTGACGGGGTGGACGCGCCCCAGAAACCTCAAATAATTGATTAAACCCCCCGCGGTTCGACTCCCCCCCTGCGCGCGGTGAGCGGGACCACCAAGCAGCTGCAGCACACCATCTGCAGTCTACCGCCAAGCAGCTGCAGCAAACCACAAAGGAGCAGCAGCAGCAGAAGCAGCAGACCCAGAGCAGCAGCAGCAGCAGCAGACCACCCAGCGCCAGCAGCAGCAGCAGCAGCAGCAGCAGACGACCCGGCGCTAGCAGAGCACCCAGCGCAGCAGCGCCCAGCGCAGCAGCGGCAGCAGCAGCAGCAGCAGCAAACACAACAGCAGCAGCGGCCGCAGCAGCAGCAGGAGACGCAGCCAAGGCAGACCACCCAGCAGCAGCAGGAGCTACATTGGACAGTAATACCTTTTTGGGTGCTATGTGCAGACGGCATTTCTTGCATCATAGCCCTACCCCGCGTACGCGACTGGTTGCGGCGCGGAGTCAGGCGGTGTCATTTGAGTCTTGTGCTGCTGCTGCTGCTGGGGGGTCTGCTGCTGCTGCTACTGGGAGGTCTGCTGGTGCTGCTGCTGCTGCTGCGCTGGGTGGGCTGCCGCTGCTGGTGCTGGCGCTGCGTGATCTGCTGCTGCTGCTGCTGGCGCTGGGTGGTCTGCTGCTGCTGCTGCGGCGCTGGGTGGTCTGCTGCTGCTGCTGCTGCTGCGGCGCTGGTTGGTATGCTGCTGCTGCTGCTGCTGCCGCTGGGTGGTCTGCTGCTGCTGCGGCACAGCAACCGCTAGAAAAACCAAGCCAAAGAAGTGATTGAAAGGGGGCACCAAACAAAACCTGCTCCTGTCAGGTGGCAGTTGCTTACTGAATGAGACTCGACGCACCACAAAGCACATACTAACACTGCTTCTCTAGAGTTTCCCACGGGACTTGCAAGTGGACCGGCAGTTACCCAATGAGAGTGACTGTGCAGCCCGCCCCCGACTTGTTTGGACGAGGAGGCCCGGCTAGCTTTCGTTCACCCCCTCTGGCCACAAGTTTTTTTGTCCATCATTTTCTGTCTTCCAATGCTTGCATTGCAGCAGCTGCTGTACCAAGCATCATCCTTTTGCGAATTTAGCCGTTGCATCAAGGTCATCAGTTTTCGCTAACGTTTTCCGCTTGCAGGAGCTCATAAAATGGAGTTGCTTCGGCGAGAGGCGGGCTCAAATAAGTCATTTGGACTAACGTTGCTGAACCAACTGGACATAGAATGGCTGACCCAGCTCGTGCACATCTTGACTGCCTACGTGTAACAAACTGACCGAATGGCTAGCAACAACAAAAAGTGCAAATCCCAAATCCTTTGAGGATTCTTGGCCGCCTCAGTCTTTCTTTTCAAGTTGTGTGCTGCAAACTCACAGTTGGTTGAGGGAAAGGACATCAGGTCTCGAGGTGTATAGTATATATAGAGAGTGTGAAATGTTCAGAAACACTTCTTGCTGGGTTGATTTCTTTGTGCCCACATCGATACAACCTCGTTCTTGAGACCCATGTGCCCTTCGCCTTGTGCGCTGCAGTGGCGAGTTGCAGTCACAAGGTGCCCATGAATAGAGAGTTCATGTGAGTTCTCAGGGGTGTGGGCTTTGCAAGGTTCAGTTCAGGGGTCAGTGTGCCACCAAAGATCTAATGCCGCTGCTGGAATCTAATAGTCTTGGAAACATAAATGATTGGCAGAATGTGGTTGTCATGCAGCCATCCTGTGTATAACGATCTGGGATTCAAGCCTCTTTCAGCATTCACTCGCCGACTGAGAGAGGTGCGAGAGCCTCAGTGTGCAACTCAACGCGGCCATGCCGTCCACGCGCGCCAGCGTCAAAGTGTGTGTCTTTGGTTCTGGAACTTTTGGGACTGCCCTGGGAAGCGTTATTGCGCGCAATGGTTTCACAGTGACCATTCTTTGCAGACGTGAAGAGGTTGCAAACAGCATCAACACTCAACACAGGAATCCTAGCCATTTATCTGAGTGCAAGCTTCCACCCCTGCTTTCTGCAACAACATGCCCAGAAGAGGCCTTGAAAGGAGTAGCCTTCATCGTCCACAGTGTGCCAGTTCAGGCCTCCGAAGGTTTTTTGAAGCCACTGAAAGATTTGATCCCTGCAGATGTGCCCCTGATATCAAGCTCCAAAGGCATCCACTCAGAAACGCTGGAGACCATGGCTGAGCTGGTTCCCCGAGTCTTGGGGCGTCCACAAGTCATGGCTTTTTTGAGTGGCCCTACCTTTGCCAAAGAGTTGATGGACGAAATTCCAAGTGCTGCCGTAGTTGCAGCAGAAGAACCTGCAGTAGCTGAGAGTTGCTCTGACCTCTTTCACTGCACCGTCTTCAAAACTTACACTACTACAGATGTCACTGGAGTTGAGGTGGGTGGAGCTTTGAAGAATGTCTACGCACTTGCAGCAGGAACTCTAGAAGGTATGGGCCTGGGTGTCAACACAGCGGCTTTCCTGGTGACCCGTGCTTGTGTTGAGATGAACATGTTGGCACTGGCCATGGGAGCAAAGCCCCACACCATGGTGGGCCTTGCTGGCATTGGAGATCTGATGCTCACGTGCCTGGGGGGTGCCTCCCGCAACAAGGCAGTGGGTGCACGCATTGGCCAGGGCGAGTCGCTGGCCTCGGTGCTCCAATCCCGGCAGCAATCCTTGGCCGGTGTGGCTGAGGGTGTGGCCACAGCCCCTGCAGCCTTGAGATTGGCCCAGCGTCACCAAGTCCCCGTGCCCATCATCGATGCTGTAGCCTCCGTCATTGATGGTGCTGCTGGACCAAGGGAGGCAGTGCTCAGCTTGATGCAGCGTCCGAAGGGTGAAGATTTTGCTGCTCATGTTCTGCATGGAGCAGAGAAGCAGCTTGAGCGTAGTGTGTCACCACTTGGAGTCCGGCCGAAGTATTGGGCCTTTCTGGCCATTGGCCAAGCCTCATTGATCACAGTACTTCTCCTTTGGTCTGTTCGACGACGAAGCTAGAATAGTTCAGAAGTTCAGATATGCTCAGATTCTGTTGAGCCACGCCTATGTACAGATGGCTCCAGCGGGAGCCCAGCGCTTAATCTTGTTCTCACCCGCATGCCTTGCTCAAAGAGTACAGCACATAGATGCGAGGTGCTGGTGTCTCAGCGACACTCACATAAATGTTGCAAATGTAGAGTCATTGTTTCCAAGCTTTCAAACGTGCGAGAATAGATGAGAATAGAAAAGTTTGACATTGGAGACAATCACTGCACAAGTGCATCCCACAGACAAGCAGAACATGTTGACTTCTGCCCCATTGTTGGTTCACCCATTGAGCTGTGGGATGTTTAATTGGACGGGTTGGACGTGGGGCTCCTCTGCTCAGCTTTGCGAAGGATCACCTAAAGCAGCTCCTGCTTGCAGAAGCGTGTCCGGCGCCCTAAGAAAAACCGAGCATTACCTAAATTGAGTTCTTCCTGTCAAACAGCGCGGCCCAGCTCAACGAAAGACTTGTGAACTCGGTTGCTTTTTGATCGGGGACGCATTCATTTCAATGGGTCCTGGTAAGAAGCTTCTACATGGCACAAAACGACGGTATTTACACGGGTTTGTGCACCTTCCCGGCACAAAACCCCGTAAATTGCGATGGTTTTGGCCTATGTACGCTTCAAAGTGGCCACAAAACACCGTAAATACCAGTGTTTTCAGCTCCTCCAGTCTTCAAGAGTGGCCTCAAATTACGCTATTTACATATTTTTTGTGGCGGCTCGGCAGAGAAACGCGTAAAAGCCGATGGTTTTTGAAGTGTTTAGGCTTCAAAAATGGTCGAAAAATTGCCAAAAACCTGGACAGATTGTGTCCGAAAGGGTTTTTTCGGCTTTTGGAGATTTCCAATTGGCCAAACATAACGGTAGTCTGGAAAGTGCCGGATACTTATAATTCCCTACTTTTCGTTCATCCTTTCTCCTTCAAATACTTTGATTATCTTTATCGAAATCTAAGAAACGATTTTTTTAGGGTACCAAAAAAAAGAAACAAAGAAAATGAAGAAAATAATATACGATAAAAAATTACGAAATATATATTTTAATATTTCTAAAATATAGATATTATATATTATATATATGATTTAAAAATTATCTATATACATATATTTTTTAAAATATATATAATATTTATATATTTTTTGAATATATATATGATATATTATATTTTATATGCATATAAAATTTAATGAAATAATAATTTATTATTGTTATTTATTTAAATAATTAAAACATATAAAAACATATATTAATATAGAATTAAAATAAATTATTTAATTTTAATATATATTAATAGAAACATATTGTATTATATATTTTATTATTTTTGATATTATAATGAATATATTTATTACTAATAATTTATAAATATGTCATGTTGAATGATTTTTATTAAAAATTAAAGATATAAAAATTTAATTATAAATATTATTTATAAAATTAATTATTTATAATTTATGAAAAATTTAATATAAACTAGGTTTTATTATTTTAAAATATTTTTATTTAATTTTTTAAATTGAATATATTTAATTTAATCTATATATATTATATAATGCAAAATATATTATTAAATATATTAAAATATATATAAAAAACTTAAATATATAATAAATATATTTGTGCATTTATTTATATTTATTTCTTTTATACTTTTATTTATTTTTATTATTCGTTTTTCTTTTTTTTTTTTTTTTTTAATTTTTTTATATTTGTGGGTTTTTTGACAAAAGAATATTCGATAAATATATCCAATTAATACGTTTAAAAAATTCTATAAAAATATTTCAAATTTTATTAAAATTTCCTATATATTAAATATATTTCTAAAAATTCATTTTTTTTTTTTTAAATACGTAATAAATCCATAAAATATATTTAAAATATATTCTTAAAATCCCCAATTTTTATTTTTTAATTATATTTAAGATATAAAATATTAATATAAAAATACAAAATTCGGAAATATATTAATATAAACATATAAATAAATATTATTAAAATATAATTCTCAGAATATTTCTATCAATCCAAAAAATTTAACAAAAATTATATAATAACATCTAAAATAATATAAAAAATATTTTTTTTATTTTTTAAAAATAATTTTTTATATTTATATATATAATTTTTATGTTTATATATTTTATTTAATTTATTTTTACTATATTAAAAATAAGTAAATGTAAATTTAATATAATTTAATAATATTAAATTTACATTTATATTACAATTAATTTTTAAATTAATTTATATATTCAATTTAATAATATATTTATATATATATATTTTAAAATAAAATATTTAAAAATATATAATCCATACATCTTCTAAATATTATTTTATTCGTCTTAAAAACGAAAAGCCAACAAAACTAATATATTTTCATTTCCCACTCCACAAATTTAAATAAATTTTAATAAACAATATTCCGTTATAATATAAAACAAATCAAAATAATACCTCATTATATCCAATCCTTTTTTATCCAAAAACAATACATCATACCAAATAATATAAATAAAACAAAATATATAATTAATCTAATTTAATATATATAATCGTAAATAAAAACCGCAAATAATTATAATACCAAACCAACATAAAATATAAACACAATTTCGTATTTCTATTGAAAAAAAAAAAAAAATCCAAATTCTATAATTTCAAATATTATTCAAATCTTTATAGATCTTAAAAATATTGTCACAAATTCTTGATATTTTTAAATTTTCAATATAAATAATGATTCAAATCTAATATAAAATAAGATGTACGACGGGCCGGTCCCAATTTGTAAAAAAAATCACCGCTTTATGCAAAAGAATTTAATAACGTAATATATATATATATAGTTATTAATATCAATATATCACACATCAGGCCTTTCTAGATGCTTTCCAATATTTAGAAAATACTATATAATTGTATTACACTTTAAAAAGCCATATCATTTTCAAAAACTACATTGTAGTACGACGGCCTTATCTATCAGTTGAATTGAATGGAAATGTTAAGCTCACAGACATAGTGACTCTATAACAGAACCTAAAGGGTATGTTCAAAGTTTAGGCACGCTTTTCACTCAAACTTTTGAATCGTCAAAGTGATTAAAATTCAAAAAGAGCAGAAATGCAGAAATGTAAGCTAATCGGCTGCAGTGGAACATACAACTATATGCAATCGTGGCATATACATGCTACTGGTCTGGCGCTACATCTAATTACGCCTCCCGGGCTAAACTCAGGATTAGCGCGTGAGCGAATTACAGTAACTAGCTAGCTAGTAGCCCTTCAGTACATCTTGGTCTCGAAGAAGTGCCTACTCTGGCTCGAGCTGTACACTCTTGTACTGAGCGTCAGCGTGTTTGGCTCGTCCCAAACCTCGACGGTTTCCCATGGCGATGCCAGCAGAAACGTCCATTGTCACCTCTTTGCTGAGAACAATCCCCAATCTTTGGCAGTTGGTGCGACTCCAAGCGTCGGACATGCTCCAGAAACAAGTTCATTTTAATATTCAGATTCGCCACTGCTAAGGGAGACAGCTCCTTGGCCTGAGACAGCATTTGTTGGCCATGAGCACGCCTATCTCGACACCTGTTGGCGTGCTGGATGCCTGAAGTTCTTTGCCAATCTGTGTGGCGTCACAAGCTGGGCAACCTGACGCATACCCAAACTTCTCCAGATCTTTCTTGGTGATGTGATGTAAAGTCTCTTCCATTTTCTTTTCCTCCCCACTTGGACTTGCAATGACAGGATCTCTTGGGACTATTGCGGCTGGCTCCTCACAGCCTGTGGACCCCAAGCAACGCCTAAATTGACTTGAGGAGTTCGGTCTCCTACCGGTCTCTCGTCGGATGGACTGACCGTGTACACTCGTGTGGGTGTTCCTACTATCTTCTCAGTTGCTTTGTCTTTGACTCCTAGAAAAATGCCTTTTGTCCATTGGGCTTCAAACTTGTGACCTCTTTATTTTGAGGTATCCGGCTGCTTCCCAATGGCAACTTTCCATTCTCTTCCACGACGTCTCGAGCACGGTGCCTTGCCATCTTGCATTTCGTTTGAACGGAAGAACACGGCATTGAGATGGTTTGGAATTTCTGGAACTCCTTCTTGATGTCCTATGCTCTTTCCACGCAGGGACGCCTTGCCATTTTATAGCGCTACTCATGTGTGTTGGAGACTTACGCAATCCTCTGTGGGGTCACTCCTCCTCATTTTATAGCCAGACTCCTTGCGCCGAGGTCAATGCACACCGTTTTATGTCTATGATATGTCTTGCTAGACCCCCAGCCTGGTATATATATATATATAGGAACACCCATCCTCTTGCGCTTGGCTTCACGGACAGCATCCTTGGTTGCAGCGCTGGCAGCTCGAGTCAGCTGCACCTTCTTCTTGCCCTTCTCCCAGCCGTTCTCGGAGGCAGCCGCAACCGAAGTAGTTCGGCTCTTTCTTGCCCGGAGAACAAGACCGGACTTCAGCCTGATCGTCTGCCGTGGGGCCTCGCTCGAGTCCTTCGGCTTGATCTCTGGCTGGCGGAATCGTTCCAAGTGGCCTTGAAGTACTCCTCCTTGGTCTTTCCCTTCTCAGGAGCCTCGGGCGTCTTGGCGATGCGCCTCCGCTTTGGCGTCTTTGGGCCCACTTCATCTTCCTCGTCTTGCTCGGAAACCATCTTCTGCATATGGGTCGTCGTGTAGAAAGGTGACCCTTGCTTGTAGCTCCCAATTGGGGTCTCGCATATTGAAATGCTTGGTGACCTCCTTCAGCCCAAGGGCATGTCTGCGTCAGCTTGCATGCTGTGGAGCATCTTTCGAAGTATGGGACTCCGTTTTCGTCGCTTGGCCGCTTTGATCTTCTTCTGTCGAGTGCGCCAGCCTCTTTGGTCCACTGATTGAGCACTTTCGCAGGACAGCAGTTGATGGCCACCGCCATTCAATTTTATATTCAATCAGCTTCTTCAAGCTCTTCGCCATCAAGTCCCTCAAGTTCTTGGACATCCATTGGATCAATGGTCTCAGGGTTGGCGTAGTGAACGATGGTGCACTGGTTGAGCCTTCACCTTGATGAGGTGGAAGGACACGACGTTGCACCTCTGCAAACTCTTCAGGGCTTTCTTTCTCAATGACGCTGCGGGCTGGATGGATAGCCCACTCTTGGGTCTCCCGCTTCAACTCCGCCAGTTCCTTTGTGGAGAGAT